ATATCATTAGATAATATTTGGAGATGTAGACAGACGTGCTCGTGGCTGGGGAGAGCGCCGTGGCATTTATCTGCCAGCCCCTCCTTCATGCTGTGTCTCTGAAATACCAAGACGGGTGCCACTGCTTCCAAACGTTGAGCCCTGCCTGCCTGACCATTCCACAGCCTCAGTGTGACCCTGAGGCCTGGACAGCAAAGATCTCAGGGGGCGCTGTCCGTCTTCCTGCTCTAATACCATCTTTTTGCTGTAGTTCAGCCATTATTATAATCATTTGTTTAATTAAGATTTTTACTTAGCTCTATCATAAAATACAAGGCATTTGAAGCATACTTGACAATTTTAATCTCTAAGACCTATGAAAAAATAGGGTCTCACAGTATTATTTTGAGTCATGCCATCTAGTAATTTCAGCCATCTGAGTGTCACCATGCTCTTATATTTACAAAAGAATTCATCTACTCATAGGTCACCAAATGCCAACTGATTTCAAGTAGCACTAAAGAAACCTCATAAAAAAAGACTGTGTTCTTTATGTGGGAAAAGCCTCGCTCTATCACCGACACCTTGACCACCACACATTAAGGAGGTAGCAGAGTGGGGGAGACACTGTGCTATTCTGTGTCGAAAAAATATAAATCACATCAATGATATCATCCAAAGATTGACCTACAACAGGAGACCAGGGTCACACACGGACCGCCCCAACCGGTCTGCACGCTCTCTGCTGGGTTCAACGCGAGTATCACAAGGAAGGTAAACGCAAGAAGATGATTAGGAAGCACCATGCTCACAACATTTCCCTGATGGGCTGTAAGGTACCTCCCGAGCAGGTACAGGACCAGAGCTCTCAGTGCCCGAGTCTCCAGCCCGGGGAAGGGGCAGCACAGCTCAGCGCAGGTGCTGAATTAGGACAGGTCCCTGCTAATTCCCAGAACCCTGGGGACATGGCAGTCCTAATGCAGGAAGGACAGCTTTGATTATGTGTGGGCTGAACTTTATGAACATGTGCTCTGATGCACAGATGTCTTCCTCAGCCTGAAGGTTAGCTCTAACGCTGTCTGTCCACAGGGGTGTCCAGCTTTCCCTCCTCCATCCCGTCTCAAAGGTTCCGGCGTAGAATTCATACTAGGACGTCCGACTCAGCACAGAGTCAGCTCTGGAATCACCCTCGGCTCCTTCAACACTGCTCTCCTGCACTTAAAGATCACAAGACTCACACTGGGAAAGCACCACCCACTCATTGCTTAGACATGTCTGCTGCGAGGGTCATCCAGGGCTGGCATGTCCCTCCCTGCTGGAGGTGCTGTCACTGCAAACAGCATCACAACTAGAAATGTGACCCACGCTCCGCACAAAACAGAAGCCATGTCTCAGGCAAAAGTACTTTGCCCGGTAACCCTGAAAATGAACCAGATAGCTCACCCACACTTGAAAAATGCTTTAGTCAAAGTACTTTGCATTGTGATGGAAAGCATGGTGGACACACGACCCAACAAAGCTCAAAGTCCAGTGGAACCCCATGGGCAAACCTCTTTGGGCATGAACTTGTCATTGTGTTTTCGGACAGGTCTACATGCTAAAAATAAATGAGGGGGGACACTGCTTACACGGAGTCTGGAAGCTTCCTCTGCACTTGGCGTCTGCTAGCACGAGCCGGTGGACAGAAGTGGGCATCCCCGATGTTGCTAGTGACCATGGTTCTCGCCTTGGCAGTTGTATGTAATTAATTTTATTTTTGTTTTTCTCCCTTTCTTTTTCCACCAAGTAGGTGCTGATTTTAAGACTCAGGGATCTCAGCACAGTCTCCATGTCTGGTGCTGGCCATCAGTCAGGGCTGGTGCTTACATGTGATGCAATTAAACATCTGGTTTATTCCGTCTTTCACCTAATAGAATTTTAAATATTTGAAAACAGCTATTAATTACTTCCTAGTTTCTCTTCCAGCCAAGCTGATCACAAATTTCCAAACATCCCTCGACTCTCGTGGTGACCAGATCCATCACCACAGGTACACACCGATCCTTTGATGGCCCACGTAACAGAACTGAACCGAAGCCATCATCCTGGGTAGGCACGGCCCAGCGCAGAGGCCGTGAGGACACACTTCCTGCAGCCAGGCCAGCGTCGGCATCGGCGTCAGAGCCCCTCTGCGTGTGAGCCGTCTGCCAGCACACACCAAGGCCCCCCGTGTCTGCTATGATTGCATGATCTTCTCACACGTACATCTGAAGTTATTGTATTTTAACTTTCACTTAGAGTGAAATTTTACATTATTTTTGTTTTTTCCTTATGTATTTGGTCTTCAAATTGAGGAGTCCCCAAATCTGTCATTAATGTTGATTTTTGCTCTTTCAGCTGGTGTGATTATGCCCCTGTTGTATGAAGGAAGGGCTCTGAAAAGACTAGCGTGAGGGACAGAAGCTTCCTTCCCAGATAACACCACCCAATTCTCAACGCCACTTGTGTACAGTCTTTATAAGACTTAGACAAGCCCACACTCTACTTTCCTGACTATAAGAGTTATTGTGAAAAATCTTGATATACGTCTTGCTGAAAATTCAGAAACACCATTTCTAAAGAGCATTTCTAAATGCCCATCCAGGAATAATGTCTAAGATGGGTCCAGATTTGCATGTTATTTTGTGAAACTACGTTAGCTCTTCATAAATGTGTTATCAGCAAACATCTTACAAATGATACGCTTGATTGTCCGCTCTGGCGAATCACCCAATCATCAAATCCACAGCTCTGACTGTTTCTCACTCCTTTCCTTTTTGTGTGAAATATCACACCGATGTCAGTCCATCTGCTGGCTCAGGCCGAATTCTCCAGGCTGGGGATATGACCCCTTTTGAATCTCTCAGGTTCTCATTGACAGGCTCCTCTTCCCTGGGGTTTCAGTCTCTGAAATGAAGGTGTGCTCTCACCTTTGTGTTGCCATAATAATTCTTCTGACAGAAGAGACAAACTAAAGAGGAAGCTGACTTATATTTTAACACCGACCTCAGTGAGTGCATTTGCTTCTCTCAGACAGACCTTCCGCGGCCCTTCCTTCTTCCGGGTCCAAGCTCTCTGAGGGTCCTATTCCTCACGACTCTTTTTGCTGTACTGTTTCCTTAAATATGTCCAGGGAAAGGTGCTTTGCTTACAAACTGGCTTTATTGAAGAACATCTGGGGTAACTGTCTGTTTCTCTGGGTAATTTCCCATTTCCTCTATTTCCTAACTTTTAGAAGCTTTACACTAAATGTATTACCCATTCTCTACTCACTGGTTTATAAACACATGTGGTTGTGTCATTTCTAATCCTTTTCTAATTTTGTTTTAATACTCTGTGTCTCCCTGGTTTTATAATTCCTTACATGCTGTATCCAAGCTCTACAACACTAACCTTTTATATATTATAATCTGGACATTTTCTTCCTGTTTATTTTCAGTTTAAATTCCTTCTGAGCACACCCTTCCCCAAAGACTTCTGAGATGTACAGCATCCGACCGAGGCCACACCTCGGGGCCCCTCACCCAGCCAGCTGTCCGATATGCTTCCCATCCCTCCTCCCAGGTGCCACCTCCACTCAGAAGGAGGCCGCAAGTTAGCAGAAGGTTTATTTGGGATCAAGGGGACTCAAGACCATGGCTGAACAGCTACACAGACGGAACATGCTACCCCAACGCCCCAGAGCCACGCCCACCGCCTTCCCCACGCCCCACGGTCAGAGTGAGGACCGGCTGGTGAGGGCCCACAGCAACAGGGCACTGATCAAGTGAATACTGTTACTTTCCGTCCTTACAATAAACAGCAGAGATGGAGGATCCCGGTGTCACCTGGCTCCCTCCTGCATGTGCCAAGGTCACCGGTGTTGACAGGGGATACGTACCCCAAAGCACAGCTGCCCTAAGGACAGTGCTGCCGAGTGGCCAGACAATGGTCTAAGGACATGAGGAACGCAGAGCAAGGCTCAGAAGCACCAGAGATTCTGACGTGAGGTGACTCACACACTCCAGGGAATATCCTGGTCTCCTGAGGACTGTATGCCTGCTCTGAACACACAGGTACCGCTGTCCGTGGAGACTGCATGCCTGGATCCGTGCAGGTGCCACAGTGACTTAAAGGCAGCAGGGGCCGCTTCACGGATCTGAGCAGGAACCCCTTCTCTGGTCGGTTTTCTCAGGAGTGACTACCTGCCTTTCATACTCTTTCTTCACATTCTCCTGAGTGTTTTTCAAACTCTCTCAAGTGGAAAAGAACAGGTCATTACTACTCAAAATGTCCTGGTCCTGGCTTAGTTCTTGCAGCGATGCTGGCCCAGAGAGGGTCAGAGGTGGCTAGAACATCACAGCTGCTGTGGCTTTTAAGAGATTACAAAATTATTGAGATCACAGAAAGAGTTCAAGAGGACGAAAGGCAGTCAGTGTATTTCACAGATGACCTGGAGGCTTACAGGGGCATCAGCAATCACTGTACTTTGAGTGGCTTATTCCACAATCTCCATACACATATTGAGAAGATTTTTCACTGGAAATGTCTTTAACTCATCTTTCAAAAATCATCATGCAGAATTTTAATATTTGGGAAGAAGAACAAGTTACCGTGCACACATTCCATTTTAAGTAACTTACTGTGCTTATGTTGACTGACACCAATGTCATTTTATCATGATACAGTTTTAAATTAAGAAATAATAAAATGTGTAATATTTTAAAATTTCATTTTTGTGTGTCCTAAAATCATGATGTCATTTAAGTGAGCAATATCTTTACCATTCTACAAATAGTCTTATATCAGTAAAGGCAATATGTGACCTTCATTTATCACTCAGATTAAAAAAAATCCCTTTAGAGCCTTAAAGAAGAAGGCATATTGCAAAGAGCAGCGTGGAAAGCCAGACGGGACGAGTAATACCGCCTAGCGCTCAGGCCAAGGGGCCCCAGGCTTGCCCAGCTGCGCTCCCCTCGTGAGGTTTGCCCGTCCAGTACGGGCCACCCGACAGGCTGACTTACCCAGACACCGCGTCTCGGCGCCGCTCCAGAGCCCGCTGGCCAGGCACTCTCTGACCTGAGAGCCCACGAGCGTGTAGCCCGTGTTACACGTGAATATGGCTGTGGCTCCGTAGACCGTCAGCGTGCCGATCTTGTTACCATTTGGCGGAAAGGACAAGCTTCCACATGAGATAACTAGATGGAAAAAATGTGAGGATCATTTCAAGCCTGCAGAAACCACTCCTTTGCTAGAAAATGACAAGGTCTTCAACCCTATTTCCCACCAAGAACACGGGGGCCAAGCCTTTCCCTTCTCTCACGGCTTTGAAATGAAGACCGGAAGGCTTAGAGCAGGCCCTGAAAAGCACAGCCTACGGACGAAAGCAAGCAAACCGACCCAGAAGCTGGCTATCTGTCTGCCTCTCTGCCTGTGCCATGCCCTCCTCATGCGTGAAATGTTTGGGCCCCAAAATCAGGAGAATCTCAGGGGAGGAAGAAACTAGAAAGCCATCGAGGACAGCCCCTCATCAGGGGTTCGCATGTCTTTTAGACAGGCGAGGGTTCAGGTGCTTGATGCGCAATCCAGGAGCGGCACTGAAGGGAGCTGGTCAAGGTGCGTCCTCAGGTGCGAGGGCTCCGGGCACAGCCCGCAAGTAGCCGAGAATCACTGAGTCCTTACGAACAGTGAGCTGGTAAGAGGCGGTGACACAGGGATCACGAGCCTGGACTCCATGCAGCTCCCAGGCCCACCCCCAGGGCTGCGGGGTAGCAGCCATGCTGCTGGACGGTTCGCCCGTCGCCTCTCCAGGGGTGCCGGCACCTGCCACGTAGAGGCGAGCACTGCACTCCAAGGGGGACCCCGTTTAAGTGCCCAGAGCCGTGTGTCGCCCATGGTCGGGGCTCAGTGCTGGCTAAAGGGAGGGCCGTCTCAGGACCCACGTCAGAAGCTGAATCAGGCGACTCGGTGAGGGCCTTTCCAATAACTCAAGTGAAGGAAGACATGAAGCAAGAACCATATAGACCAGTCTTCTGAAATGGGCTGATTTTACCCCAGAATGTGATAACCCTCATTCATTTCAAATGAACAGGTGCTGCTGTGTGATGTGTGTTCTGGGGGAACAGCACCCCCCGCCCCCAGAAATTTGGAAAGATCAACTCCACAGTGTCATGATCACAACATTTGTTGTGGAGAGAGACCTCACGACCTACCAGTGTCTGGGATCGCTGAGCTCCTAGGGTTGTATCTTATGCCTTTAGCAATGTCTCTAACATGTCAGTAATTCCAGTAGGATTTAAAAATTTTACGGTTTGTTGTAAACTTTTCGTTAAAAGACTTTTCCCAAACATAGTATGAACTTCACCTTGAGCTACCATATTTAAAGATCCATTTGGAACCATTTAGGATGCTTGGGGTGTTGAAACTTCAGCATCATCAGAACTGAGTCAAACGGCAACGAGGTCTGCGCACCTGCTCTCAGGGCCTTCAGGAACCTGGGCGCGGAGGCAGACAGGCTCGCCCGGCTTCTGCCTCTGCTGTTCCTTCAGCCTCTGTTAAAAATATCTGGCAAAACTCTTTTTTGGTTTGTCCTCCGCTAAGGATCACTAGACTGTAAAGACCTAATGGAGCAAAGTTGAGCCTCTCAGCAGCTGGATAATGGGGTGTCACACGCAGTGCTGGTTGGCAGCAAACCCGAATCATTACTGAGGAGCGCAGCGCTAATCTGGGAAGGTTACCCTCACTGGAAGGCAGGACTCCCACCGCTAAAAAGTAAAAACAGAAATCCCTTTGTCACCATCTGAGGAAAAGCCTATTTCCATGGTACCCACTCCATTTCATATAACTAATTCACTGTTTGCTATTTTCACTCCATTAAAAATGTACTCATGTTCACAGTCTAAAGAGGCCCCCAAATTCTTGGGGTATGCCTTGCACACAGAGGATGCCCAACTCTGCCCCAATTTTCAGCTGATTCCATATTTTCTCACTGTTACTGTGGATGACAAGCCATTTTCCCCTCTCCCCTAGAAGCCTCGTTCCTCTCTGCCTCAATTTTAGTCGTGTTAGTATTGAAATCCTCTACTTTGAAAAAGAAACAAACACAGCATAGTGTGATGTGTCATTTGTCATATGTGTAAGGCCAGCATTCTTGTCAGGAGTATGGCATTATTTGTGACTGTGACTAATCTGTCGAAGGTCAAGAGCAGGTTCTTTGAAATTACGTCCCAGCTGGAGCACCTGCGAACCCACCGATGTGTGAGCAGGGAGCGTGTGACGTGGCACGCATGCGAGGGGAGGGCAGGCCTGTTGTGAAGAAAGGGTTAAAGGATACATGGTAGTTGCTATGAAGTATGTGCAGGCATGCCGTGTAGACCGGAGTCTGGAACTGCTTTGTTAGGCCTAGAGGCTGGGCCATGATGCCTGGATGTAAGCGAATAAGGCCTTGCTCAAAAGTAAACGTCAAACATGAAGCCTGCTGCCCTGGACGAGAAGTTATTCGGGGCTGGATGGGCATTTACTTGTGAACCTACCAGGAGGAGCTTCTGATTTCAGGTCATTCTGAGTGATGACCAACGTCCACCCCACAAGCAGGGGGGTAAGAATGCCCACTGTATGGCCTCCCGGGATGAAGAGGAAACGCCTGGCTGACGGATCAGGACCGTCAATGATCAACCCAGCTCACCTCCAGTTACAAACAGAAGGTCATCTGTGACCAACAGTTTGACCCAGTCTAACTCTTAAATCAGCACTTAAGAAAGAGGAACCTTCTAGAATGCAGGCACCAGTCTTTGCATGTCCACAATATAACCAAATTCCAGTGTAGCTCCCTGAGTCTGTGTATGAAGTTGAAAATACCAAGATGATTTCTTTTTGGTTAGTGGATTTCTGTGACAAACATTTTTCTTACTTTTTAAAGCAGATCAAAGAATAAAGACATGTACCAAGGAAAAAGCAGTAGCCTCCCACTTTACTGGGGTCCTGTGCCAGGGAGGTGTGCAGACTGCCCAGGTGCGCCATCTCCCCCCTGCGTCCCTGTTGCTGTGGCACTCGCCCCTGGCAATTAGCTCTCCCGGAGGGCGACTGCCATGCCAGCAGCTTCGAGGTGGAGCTAGGTTCTCCTGTTCTTCACCCCTGGACCCCCGGGCTCTGCCCAAGGACCTGTTCACATAGCCTGGACTTACAGGAACACAGCTCCTCAAAAAGCAGACAACCCCGGCGGGCTTCACGGCTGGCAGGGATATGCTCAGCAGGCAGCTCTCTCTTCCTGTGCAGCTAAGTGGCAAGAGAATGGGGGGTCCTGACACTGCCAGCCCCTTGGCAGGCAGACAGACACAACGGTCATGGCCCAGGCGGCCCCGTGGACCGGCCGTTTTAAGAGGCGACATAGGCAGAGGACACCAAGATAAATGACAGTCCTCAGCTCTCCTAATGATCTGGATGATGAACACTTGAAGATGCTACTGGTCCAATAAAACACAGAAAGGGACCTGGTGTTTCTCCTGGGGAAGAGCTCTCACAGAGGGCGAGCTGGGCTCACAAAATGTGTCGTTTTAAGTAATTTTAATTAAGATATTAAGTAGCATTTCAACTTCCTGGGGGTTATCATGCACTTATTTAATTGCAAAACCCTGTAACCAGGAGTCATATTGCGTTTGCCTGTGTGGGTGTTGGCAAGCTAGGGACATGGGAAATACATGTAATTTAAATGTATTTAAATATAAAATTAAATGAAAATGTATTACAACACAAATGAACTAATACACAGTTTTACTTTTATTTTTGGTAGAACACAGAAAATACTGCATATACTTCTTAAAGATCTAAATTTTTTTCACTTTATTTTTTGGGGGTAAAGTTTGAAAGGTCTTTAGCAATTATCAACATTTAAATTGCCTCTGTTTTTTTCAGATATTATTAACTGACTTTTGAGAAAGTAGAGGGTTATTATAATAAGGTAGTTGTTATTTGTCCTCAATAAATAAAAGTAATAATATTGAACGCTGAACTAAAGCTGATTGTGAAAAATACATGAATAATGACCTGAGCTCCCATGAGGATAAAGGTTAAAGGGAAATTTTGGGCCACAGGTCAACATCTGCATCTGTGTTGTCCCTTCCAGGGCTTTGTCTGTCACTGTCTGAAAGTGTATCTTAGAAACCCTAAGCTTTGTACTCTGTAGTATTTTTCTGAAATACTTCTCAGAACGTGGTCCTGGAGCTCCTGGGTGCCTCTAAGCCTTTTTCTTTTCCTTCTACACCACAGCCTAATTTTCTTTCAGCCAAACACACTGTAAGAAAGTTAGTGCAAAACTTATATGAGACTCAGCTGTCCTCTACTGAATGGGACATGAAAGGAATTTACAATATTTTGAAACAATGACACTATTCTTACTAATTTCAGTTTGGTTTGGAAAGAGTCGGTACTGTTCATAAAAACATTATTAATGGTAAGATGTAATTATCTTATTATTTTTAATATGTGAATGAATATTCAAATTTCTTCTCAGTTTTAATTTAAATGAATTTCTATAAATACATTAAACCAACTCTGGGTTTTAATGAACAGTAAGATAATAATTTTGAAAGGTTTAATGGGAGGCAAAGTTTGAGACGGCCCCTCATGATTCCCATTGCTGGTATAAAACTGTCTCCCCGTGGTGCAGGCAGAACTGTGATTAACTTTGAGTTAATAAAAACATGGGACTATTTGGGTGGGACTGACCTCATGAAGTAAGCCCTTAAAGGGACTGAGTGCTCCCTTTGATTCAGGAGAGGGCCTGGGGGGCAGGCAGTGCATGGCGAAGAGCTAAGCATGGGCCCCAGGAGCCGAGACACTCTCCACCCGCAACCATTAACAGCGCGAAGGCCTCATCCACAGGCTGCGAGGGCTGGATTCCACCACACATCCTTCCCCAGCAGGGCCTCCTGGTGAGGATGCAGCCCAGCCCACAGCCTGACTTCCACCTTATGAGGCCCTGAGCAGAGGACCCCCCACTAACCTGAGCCAAACATCTGCCTCCAGAAACTGTGAGATGACAAATCTGTGTTATCTTAGGGAAGATGTAATTATCTTATTATTTTTAATATGTGAATGAATATTCAAATTTCTTCTCAGTTTTAATTTAAATGAATTTCTATAAATACATTAAACCACCTCTGGGTTTTAATGAACAGTAAGATAATAATTTTGAAAAGGTCTAATGGGAGGCAAAGTTTGAGACGGCCCCTCATGATTCCCGTTGCTGGTATAAAACTGTCTCCCCGTGGTGCAGGCAGAACTGTGATTAACTTTTGAGTTAATAAAAAAATGGGACTATCTGGGTGGGACTGACCTCATGAAGTAAGCCCTTAAAGGGACTGAGGCCTCCCTTTGATTCAGGAGAGGGCCTGGGGGTGGGCAGTGCATGGCGAAGAGCTAAGCATGGGCCCCAGGAGCCGAGACACTCTCCACCCGCAACCATTAACAGCGCGAAGGCCTCATCCACAGGCTGCGAGGGCTGGATTCCACCACACATCCTTCCCCAGCAGGGCCTCCTGGTGAGGATGCAGCCCAGCCCACAGCCTGACTTCCACCTTATGAGGCCCTGAGCAGAGGACCCCCCACTAACCTGAGCCAAACATCTGCCTCCAGAAACTGTGAGATGACAAATCTGTGTTATCTTAGGGCACCAGATTTGTGTTAATCACGTAGCAGTGACAAACTGATACAGTCCTCAACAATTTCAAAGCTATAAGTTTCCTGAGATGGAAAACCTTCCTGTCAAAGAGGCTGGGACATACTCCACAGGGTTTAAGAGTAACACTGGTGCAGGAGTTTAAAGACTAGTTTGCAGGACACTTAAACCAGAGAGAGAATCCAGGGGGTGGAGACAATGTCCCCTCAGATTTCAGACAATGCCCAGCACGGTCACAACGAACACAACGCTAGGCCCTGCAGCATCCAGTGCGACACATCAGTGTTCCTAAGAAGAGTGAAACATCTTTGATAAACTCTCTTGTTAGTGCAAAATTAACAAAGAAAATCATTAGAAAGATAGAAATTAATTGAAAATATGAACATCAAGTCTTTGGTGGTGGTGGGAATAACAAACAGAAACTTCTCTTTAGTCACAAAAGTAATAATGGACTCAATTTCCCTACCCCATTGATTATTCAACCAACAAGCACACCTACAGGCACAAATTTTGGTCTCTATTACTGTTCTCCACCAAAGGTTCAGCAGGCTCCTTGAAAAAGAGCTGATCCCATGTTTTGGTAAGGAAAACTCAGAATGAGCATAAAGCATCCTGTCTTTATGAATAAACAAGGACAATTTCAAAGATGTAGGAAGGACAGGATGAAGGTAAAAGGGACTTTCCCTGCCTAAAATGTGGCCATCTGAACTACAAACACTGATGATAACCCTAAACCAAGAAAGCAAATAATGATTTCAGTGGATCCCATTGATTCTGGAAAAGCCACTTGTCCACAATGACATTTGAAAGGGACAAATAATACAGTGTGATACACCTCACATCCCACGCTGTGAGTCAGAAACAGCTGACAATTTACGAAACCCATCAGTGTCCCCAGATGGCTGGAGGTAAGTCCAGACACGTGGACTGGAGGCGGCGGTCCCTGACCACGCTCAGCATGGGAGCCACCAGATTAAGGACTATTGAATCAGAGTCATCTGGCATCTCAGAAGGATGAAGGAGACACGCAACTCCTGCACCTCAGACCCTGACCGGCTTTCCTCCCCCAAATAAGGGAGGGACCTTGCTGCTAGGTAAGTGTGGTCTAGAGTCAGGAAAGCTTTTGCAAATGTTCTTGTAAATGGAAGCCTCTCCTTGCAAGCTTTACCCCTTCTGGAATGAAGACCTGAGCCATTTGTGTAAAAGGCGGCATACAGCAAATGCCCTGTCACAGACCTGCCCACGGCGCCCTGACCCAGGCAAGTCATCCTGCAGGAGCCCTCTGTGGACCCTGTCGCCGAGAAGTCACCGTGTGCCGGTGCCTAAGATGCTGACTCCACTTCGGACAAGTCCACATTAGGCAGAAGGTGAGGGCTCCTAATTCTTCTCCTCCGCTTTCCCTGCTGACCTGAGTGGCTGAGTCTCTGCGTCAGCAGTTTCACGGAGAGGATATGTGGTACGGATTCGGTGACCAGATAATTAGTCAACCACAGACGGCAGAGAAGGACGAGGGAACTGTGAGCAGGACTGGAAAACAGGCCTCAGGCAGGGCTGTCGGGGCTGCGGGGGGCTGTCCCCTGCGGCGACAGAGACTGCGAGCTCCTGGAGGTCACCCCCACATTCACCGTATTCCTGGTAAAGACCTTTGTATACATTTAAATACTGGCTGTCCTACTAAGAGCTGGACTCGAGATCAAGGAAGACAGTGAGGCATAATTCAGTTGTCCTTTTCCCATTTTCTGTTTGGTTTATTCTGACATAGCTGTGTGCTGTATAAATCTGACACTGGCTACTTCTATGCATGATAATTTCCTGTGAATAAGGACTGTCTACTAAATATGTCTGAATCAGGTAGTGCTCTGAGCAATACTAACATTGTTCTATTTTTGTTATTCATATTTATTATGAAACCCACTCAAGGGCTTAACTGCTTATCTTGTACCTACGAGAATAATCATCTTCCTTTTCAAGACAGTCATTATGTGCAAACACAGTATCTTCAGCATAAATACTATTTTCCCAGATCCTAATTAGAGCAGTGTGAATAGTCAGTACATGGGATAAGAGTTATCTTTGTAAACATAGTCCGGGATTTGTTTTTGGGCATATTTGAAGTATTTGAGTGTTCTCATCTTTTAAAGTTCATAAAATGCAATCATTAATAAGGAAAACAACGTTTAGCATTTATTCCAGCAGTATGTCACATAGATACATATTCATCACTAGAATGAAAATACATGCCATTGGTTTGTATTGTTAATCTCTAGGGCTGACAGATTATAGTGCCTCACAGGCAGACGGACTGATGTCAGTGTTTAGAAAGGCCGCGCCCAGGGGCGGGCACGGGCCACTCACCTCTACACCGCGGCCTCTCGGAGCCTGCGCTCCAGGTCCCGTCAGCCTGGCACTGCATGAGCCTGTGGCCCTCCAGGTAATACCCGGGGCTGCAGCTCAGCAGGACCTGAGCCCCGAACTCGTTCAGGGATCCTGAGACCAGCCTCCAGGTGACGTGCTCTGAGAGCTGAGCTTCAATGCCGGTGCAAATTACCGCTGGAAAAGAAACACGATTGGCGTCATCAGTTTTTCTGCGAGGCACTGGGCTCTGCTTGGTCATAAGTTAAGGGCCTTCTGCATGAAACTGCTCCTGCTGTACTAAATGGATGCCTCTGCCTATTTGAGGCTTTCTCTGCCACCCGCACGGGCACATGCACCATCACACATGGAGATGCACGCAGGAGCCTCGCTGCAGGTGCAGGGGAATCCTGCAGGGAGATGGTGCGGCAGAGGCAGAACCGCTTACACAAGGTTGCATGCTCCATTTGGAGTTGCACAATGTGCATAAGAATGAACATGTGCATAAGAAACCTTACGTATAATTTGTCTCAATATCTTCTGAGAAACTTGGAATGGGACTAAGTAATTGAAAGCCATCTTGGACACAAATTACCAGAAAACCAGAAGCTCTCATTCCATTCCTCCCTGAGAGACACACCTACATCCTACACTCCGTGTAACACTGGAGTTCTACACATGCCACGTTCATGGCACGCTGCATTAATTCTGTGCAGGGAAATGGTCAACATGTTTTAGAGGAGATGGTCTCTTCGTGCTCCTAGCAAGGCCTAGAGCCACAGTGGCCACATAATAAAGAGCACAACCAACGGCTGTAGGAGCAGTGGCGACGGGAACAGCGCTGGTTCACTGAGTGGTTCACTACTCCTGGAACGGACTGCGAAGGATGTGCAAATAAGCTGAAAATACATGCAACATGCGGTATCTGTGAGTATATATATTTCCTGAAAATAATAAATACAAATCATTTAATATTTAATTAACCATGTATATTAGATATATAGTATGTAAATATGTATTATACAGCAATAACAAATTATTTCATATTAAATATTTAAACAGTAATGTTTAAAATGAACCTTAAAAAGTCAGGACCTAGGACTGTACTCCTCTAAATGTGCAGCTACATTGAGTCAACATCCCTGAAGGTCAGCTACTCACTAAACTGACATTGTTGACTGATTTACTGAGCCTGGAAGAATTAGCTAGAGAAGACATAGATTTCTCTTTAAAATGACATTTCACTTATTTACAAATAAATTGAAAGGTAAACTGTATACAAGCTCATTTTAATTGAATCAGACATATCCAAAATTTCACAAAATCTCATTTAATCTTCTCTCAGTTTTTGCCAGTACCATATGCTAGTATCACTGAGGTTTAAAATGTGAAAAGGATTTGCTAATTTAAAAGTAATCCTTAGATCTGGTTCTATTAGGGACCTTTTAAGATAAAACGATTATCTAAAATTTATACAGATATTCTAGTGTTCTATCTAATGACTTAAATAAAATTTTCCCCTAGCCAGAAGATCTTTAGAGCTCCAAGCATGGCTGTCATTTCTGAAGTCTTTAAAGCCTTTAGCTTTATAAATCCATAGCTCAATTTCAATCCCACAGCGCGTTTCACACGAGTCATTTCATTTCACCAAAAAGTGTGCTTCTAGAATTAACGATGGGTTTTAATTACCGGAACTATTTTATAAACTCTGCTTCTGCCAGGAAGGACTCGCTGCCGGCTCCCCAGGGACAGAGAAGCCGACTCCGAGCGGCTATCTTCAGCAGCAGGACGCCCGGATTCTGTGCGGCTGCCTCCTTTTTCGTGATGATGGTGCTTGGTTTGTTGTGTGGCCACCGGATTCTGGTTTAATTGCTTGTTTGCACCTCTTTCCCCTCATCAGGCTCTAGGCTTCGTCCTTGTAAACACTAGGTCTCCATGTTTTTTCTTGCGTGTGTCTGACAAAGCTGATGACATCTACTTATAAATGTGTGTGTGTGTGTATGTGACTGTGAGAGTGTGTGTGTGTGTGTGTGTGTGGGCACCCACAGCCGTCCTGCTTGGTTTCGAGGATCCAGCCCCTCCCGCCGGCCCAGCACAGACCTACTGATTGTGCCCTGGCAGCTGCTCCACCAGAGCCATGGCTGCGGCCCGTGCTGCGCACCTGCGGGTCCCTGGGGCGGAAATACCACTCCTTCCCCCAGGGAAGGAACACGTTTTACCAAACCTTCCCGGCTCGGTTAGTGAGGACCTCACAGCCTGCACAGTGACGCGCTTTCCCTGAAAGCCACTCGGGGGGAACGGCCCTCTGTGGGTGGTCTCTGGATGACGCTCCTCTTTGCCACTCTTTTCTGTAGTGTCCACGCTTCCTACATGTCAGGGATGGTCAGTGAAGCCCATCAAGTGACCAAAGGATTTAAGGGCATTGGGCTAATAATCACAAAACACCTCTTTATTAATTAAAAAAATGCTGCAAATAAGTGAAAGTTGGAGAATATTTTTTTCAGATAAAACTTGAAACAGTTAAGTGCCAATGAAAGAATATGCTGCCTTGTGGTACAAAAATATATGTAGACACACACACATGCACACATACATGCATAGTGTGTAGATATAGCAGTATTAGACCAACACAATACATGCAGCTATAAAAGATGACATCAATCAATGCATAAGAGTTTCACAAGGGACCCTTCAGGAAAACCTCAGTGCTTTTGTTACATTCATAATCTTTAATTTTTTCCTACATCAATACTTTGAGGGGAAAAAAAAAAGAAAAGGGAACAAAACTTAGGGAGAGGAGGGATGTGAGTGTATCCAACATCCGAGGCGCAGGAAGCAGGGAGAGGCAAACGGGAAGGTGTGTGGGGCGGCAGACGACACAAGCTGACTAAGGCCCAGAGCAGCGGTGTGGTGGAGCCTCAGGCCGGCTGACGTGGGCTCTGGGACGCAGGAAGCCGCGGGAGGCTCTGCTGCCGCCGCCCGTCTCCCTTTGCCCGGGGCCGGCCTGCTGTTTTCCAGCTGGAAGGAACAACTGTGAGTCCCCTACGACCTACAGAGACAAAGCTGAACTGCAGTCGGAAGGCTGCATACGGCAGCCTGAGCACCACCGTGCTGACGTTTGTGAAGGAAACACTTCATTCTTCCTAACAGAAATATCTTAGCTTAGAATTCCCTGGGTCTTCTCCACGTACCTGCCCGCTCTCCCCATGTTCCTGGAGCCAGACAGCCAGGAAGACATCGCTGCTTGGGCAGACTGGAAGTTGTTCAGTGTTTTCCAAAAAAAAAAGTCCTGCTCACGCTGATATACTAATTGCATATAGAATTCTACACGACGACGGTCCTCACAACATCACTGAGACAGGGAAGATGGATGTTCCTAATACTTGCACTTCGTGGACGGACAGGTGGCCGGCCCACATGCCGTCTCTCTGGCCCTGCATTTCCTCCACTGCCAGGAACAGTGCGAGACGCGTTACTGAAACAAGTGACACCCACATGGTTTTCAGAATTAAATCAGTGGGGGCTCCTGACACTAACCTATAAATATTGCACACATAATGACATGATTTTCGAAAGAATGTTTTAAAATGCTGACCCACCTGGACAATGTAGCAAAAGAATATATTTTGTTTACATAAATGCTACAAAGCAGGTTTTGTGTCAGTTATAAGTGCATAAATTGTCAGGCCAGATTTAGTGAAATCAAGTATTTTTTAAAAATGCATGGTTGGCTGGCTTGGCAGAAAGTGCTTAATCTGTCTGTTCGCCATTATCTCCCTTCCTTGTGTCTATTGATTTATTTATTTTAGAAAATACACATTATTTTCCATTACCTTAAAGAAAACAGCTTTCATGGAATCATCTTCTACTTTGACAGATTCAAGGGAACATGTGCCTCGCCCACTCCCTAGTATCTGACTGTTGAAGAGTGCTAAATGTTGACGTGGCTGACACTGTTCGTAGTGAAAATTCCTAAATAATACCCCACCCATCAGCGCGGCTGAAAGCACAGGCCATAATGTTTCTATGCACAAGACACATTTTCTCTCTGTTATGGACATTTATGTGACAACATACATTATTTTGCATTTGACTTGAGAAATATTGGCTTTTAATTGTACCATGAGTGATTCTGATTTATTTCAGACTCATTCAGCCAGTGGCAAGCCAGAAACTGCTTTGTTAAGGATATTTACACAAGGACAGCATTGCCACCATAAATAAAGCCCTCTTGCCCCCTCTCCTAAGTTACAGACACTCATCACAACCTCCTGGGACCCTCCCACCAGCCCTACACGCAGGGACATGCCTGTCTTTCTCTTTTAGCAACAGATTCACCCTCCTCACCCCCGCATAACATGGGTGAGGGTTTATTACCAACTGTAGTTCTGGAGCATTTATCCAGATTTGTAAAATCATGGTACGTAAAACGATTTAATCAGCCTATCACTGAGCTCTGGACTCCCATCTTCCACAGAACTGAAGCATGCTATCGGGGTCTGCTGCCCACGATCTGTGCTCACGGGGTGGGGAGGCGGGAGCCGGCTTTAGCTCTGGTCCACGGGAAGCCGAAGAACGAGGCTGCTGTGGCTCAGGTAAGTCCTGCATCAGAGCCGCTGCAGGAAGCCGCGGTATGGAGACTGTTCACAAGCATTTCATGCCTTCCGATTTCCACTTGGCTCTATGAAGAAAGCCCTCCACGAACACCGGAGCGAGGGCATGCGATCCTTAAGGACAAAATTGGCTTTGGATTTTTGTTTTGGCCTCAGATTTTAACCACATGATTAGTGTTTATTTGATTAAGAGTAGGTGAATTAATAAAGGTGCATGTCACAGTTTTAAGGTAAACTCTTAGGGTGTAACTTCCGGGCCCACCTGAGATGGGTCACCTTTTCAGAGGCATCAGGAAAAAAAAGGTCTGACAGGTTTAAAGCCCCGAGCCCCTTCTCGGCCAGAACTCCTGATGGAATTGCGGGGTAACTCTCACGCCCCCGGGGGCCCGGAAGTGCCCCATCTCCTCTCAGTCTTGCGACACTGTCTTTTTCGGGTGCAAAGTGACCCAAGCCCTCGTGAGCTCTGACGTGATGTGTTTTCTGTCCCGGTCTTCTTGTTATTTTGTTGTTATGATAAAGCTCTCTGTGTTTCGCCAGAACCAGACCCTACGACATCTCGGTAACTAACTGCAGCTGTCAAAGGAC